TTATTATTATTATTATTATATAATATTCAGTTAATTTCATTTTTGGTTGTAGATTTATAAGTGTCATTCCAGCTTTAGTAATTTATTTTCATAACATTCCCGGTTGGTCCTAATATTATTGTGAAATGACTAGTTTTAGTCTTTTGCCAACAAACCTATTTAAATAACGTTAAATATGATGACATTTCGATCTTTTCTATACAAAATGAGTTAACCTGCAATATTTTTATTATTTTTTATTTTTTTTTAAAATTCCTAATTCACGAATAGAGTCTCATGTCTTCTTATATTGCAATTTGCGCCTCCGTTGTAGAGCCACCACAACCTGAAACCCATATATAAATCTAGGCTCAAAAAAGAAATTAATACTTAAAATTGAATAGACTTAAATGTCCTCATATTTATTGCTATTTGAATTGGTTTGTTGAGGAATAAGGGTCAAATAGGCAATCGAACTACACACAATAATGCAATCATTATTGTGTGGACCATATTTTGTCTACTGTAAAATAATGTACATTTAGTACATTAAAAATATAATTTTTGTTATGATCCACATAACATTGTGTGAACCATGATCCACACAATAATTTGCCCAATCATGCAATTAGGCCACTGAACTTTAAAAAGCTACAATTAGATCACTAAATTAACCAATTTTATGCAATTAGTCTTATTTGTAAGTTTTTCAAATTGTTAGCAGGTCACCCCTTTTCAAAATATTTTTTTTTAAAAAAAACTATTATTTAAAATAATTATTTAAAATTAAAAAATTAAAAAAAAAACAAAAACAAAAACAAAAACAAATCCACTCCGCCGGAGACTATGCTCTGGACCCGTGTCCACGGCGTTATTCCAGTTAAAAAAAAATTGATTTTGTCTCGCCGTTAACGGCGTTATTCGTTTGCGCCATTATGAATGTACAGTTATGAGATTATGAATGTACAGTTATGGAATTATGAATGTACAGTTATGGAATTATGAATGTAAGTGATAAAATTATGAACACAGAGCTCTGACATTATGAACTTACAATTATGAACGTATAGTGATTAAATTATGAACATAGAGGTGTAAAATTGTGAACATCGAGTTTCAAAAATTATGATTTTACAGTTATTGAATTATGAAAGTACGGTTACGGAATTATGAATGTACAGTTATGCAATTATGAATGTACAGTTATGGAATTATGAACACAGAGCTCTGACATTATGAACTTACAATATGAACATATAGTGATAAAATTATGAACATAGAGCTCTAAAATTGTGAACATAGAGCTTCGAAAATATGAAGTTACAGTTATTGAATTATGAATGTACAGTTACGGAATTATGAATGTACAGTTATGGAAGTATGAATGTACAGTTATGAAATTATGAACATAGAGCTCTGACATTATGAACTTACAATTATGAACATATAGTAATAAAATTATGAACATATACTCCTATAACGAAGCGGTCTAAATTTTTTTTAAAAAAAAAAAAGAAAAAAAAGAAAGATAACAGTGCCTAACGACACTGTTACCCGTGTCCAGCATGCATGCTGGACACGGGTCCATAGCATAACGATTGTCGTCTCCGGCAATGGACCCAATTGCATTCAAAAAAAAAAAAAAAAAAAAAAAAAACTTGTAGTAGTGACTTTTATGAGCTTGTAAATTCAATAAAAAGAAAAAATCAATAAGTGCTATTTTATTTTTTTTGAAAGGAAAAAAAAAAAATAGCACTTATTGATTTAAAATCAATAAGTTCTATTTAAAATATCTTAATTAAAATTTTTTGATAATTCATATTTATAGATTAATTTTATTTTTAAAAATAGAAGAAATAAATTTAGGTGGAAAAAAAATAGAGATTCATGATATATATATATATATATATACACACTGATATGCATTTATTTGGATTCAAGATTGTTGGGCCTAATTCTAAAAAAAAAATTGTTGGGCCTATGTTCCATGACACTGGACATTTTGGGCCATTGTAGTACGTCCATGTAACAAAATTTTAATCATACTCATTATACAATCGATCGTTATATCATGGACCGCGGTGTACGTGCACTGTGATCAAAACGACATCGTTTCTTTAAGTAAAGAAACGGTGCGTCGTTACTGTTAACGGAGCACGCATTTTTTGATGTGTTAATTACCAATTGAAATTACAGTGTATCTAAACCGACAGTGCTTCATGTATTATTTTATATATTATCAAATGAAACTGTAGATATATCAAAATGATACTGTAGTTGTAGTTAAATGAAACTGCAGTGTATATAAAATGAAACTGAATAACATTTCACATATTTGAGTGTATATTGTGCAATGAAGTTGTAGTTATATCGAAATGATCATGTAGTTGTGTTTTAATGAAACTATAGAGTATATAAAATAAAATTAAATAACATTTTCACATATTTGAGTGTATAAATATCGAATGAAACTATAATTATATCGAAATGAAACTGTAGGTGTGTTAAACTAAAACTGCAATGTATACAAAATGAAACTGAATAATAGAGTTACTTTTTACGGAACGGCGCGAAACGTGTGCCGTTTCTTTTCATTAAACAAAACGACGTCGTTTTGAAGCTCGGTGAATAATCGATTAAGCACCGCGGTGCACAATATAATTTGCGTTATACAATGACAAATTTTACTGTGGACTGTGGTTTATGTAGCAGCGTGAACCATTGGTTTATGTAGCAACGTGGGCCATGAAGTATGTATCATTTTGATTACGGCAAATTATACCATTGACCATGGTCCACAAAGCAATATGGACCATGATCCAAAACTGTGCCGTTTCTTTTAATGAAAAGAAACGGCACCTGTTCCGCACCGTTCAGCGTAAAGTAGCTCTGTTTGTATAACATACTCAGTTTCATTTTATATACACGGCAGTTTCATTTCAACACAACTACATTTACATTCGGCATTATACACTCAAATATGTGAAACTGTTATTCAGATTCATTTTATATACAATATAGTTTCATTACAATAGATCAAGAACTACAGTATCATTTAGACATAACTACAGTTTCATTGGACAATATACACTCAAATATGTGAAATTGTTATTTAGTTTCATTTTATATACACAGCAGTTTTATTTCAACACAACTACAATTTTATTTTGACATAATTAAAGTTTCATTCCACATTATACAGTCAAATATGTGGAACTGTTATTCATTTTTTCATTTTATATACACTGCAGTTTTATTTCAACACAACTACAATTTTATTTGACATAACTAAAGTTTCAATTGACATTATACAGTCAAATATGTGAAACTGTTATTCATTTTCATTTTATATATACTATAGTTTCATTACAACACAACTACAGTATCATTTCGATGTAACTACAGTTTCATTGGACAATATACACTCAAATATGTGAAACTGTTATTCAGTTTCATTTTATATACATTGCAACTTCATTTCAACACAACTACAGTTTCATTTCAATTCAATTACAGTTTCATCTGATAATATAAAAACAATATATGAAACATTTTCATTTTAGATAAACTGTAGTTTCATTTTGTAATTAACACACACAAGATACGGGCTCCGTTAAGATGTAATGGCAGCCGTTTCTTTACTTAAAGAAATATGTCGCTTTTAGACCATGGTTCACAAAGCTTCGTGGACCATGGTCCACGATATAACGATTGTTTAATTACATTTCAGTTTTATTTGACAATATTGCTATGCTTTTTAATTTCATTTTCCCTCCACACTAGTTTCATTATAGCAATACTAATTTAAATATCATTTTAATTTTATTATAGTTTCATTTAATAATATACATTATTGCTTGAGCTCTACTTTTTTTGTTTCATTTTTCCACACACACTAGTTGAATTATAGTAAGAGTAAATACCCAAAATGGTCATTCGATTATAGCTAAATTCACAAATTGGTCCTCGACTTTCAATTTCAATCAATTAAGTCCTTAACTTTGCAATTTTGACATGATTTGGTCCTCCATCTATTTGACCGTTTGTTGACCGTGATCGACGATCTCCAAAAGAACCTTCAGCTCTCGTCGGAGCACGTGGAGGCCTCCAGGATGATGTTGCACTGGTTCGGAAACACGCCGTCTTCTTCGCTCTGGTACGAACTCAACTACATTGAATCCAAAGGGAGGATGAAGAAAGGCGACCGGATTTAGTAGATTGCTTTCGGTAGTGGATTCAAATGTAACAGTGCGGTCTGGAAATGCAATCGGAACTTTAAAAAACCGATGGTGGACCATGAAATTACATATATATCATAAAAAAAAAAAAAAATCACAGTCAACAAACGGTCAAATAGATGGAGGACCAAATCGTGTCAAAATTACAAAGTTAAGGACTAAATTGGTTGAAATTGAAAGTCGAGGACCAATTTGTGAATTTAGCTATAGTCGAGGGACCATTTTGGGTATTTACTCTTATAGTAATGTTGAAGTATTATTTTAATCGCACTTCAGGTCATTTGACAATATATGTTATTGTATGGCTCTGAATTTTAGTTTCATTTTTCACCCAAACTAGTTTCATTGTGACAATACTAAAATATTATTTACAGTTTCATTTGACAATATTGTGCTCTGTTTCTTAGTTTCATTTTCTACATACACTAGTTTCATTATAGTAACGCTAAAGTATCATTTTAATTCTACTGCAGTTTCAATCAAGTCCACATAACGATGTGTGGATCATGGTCCACGGTATATAACTATAACAACTGTCATACAACGGAATAATTAAAGAAAATATAAAAACTGTTGAATGAATATTGAACGAGTAGCATAGGATTCTACAAATAAATATAATCTCTCTGCCCAGCTTACATAGAAAAATAAAATGATTTGTGTACATACTTTAGTAAGTAAAAAACTTTCTACCACAAGTCTTGATTTTATTAGTGTCCCGAAAAATACTCAATGGTTAATCTAAGTAAAAAAAAAAAAAAAAAAAAGTGTTTAAATGCACCGTCAAACCAGCTTGCAAATTGGAAAAACTTTCCTCAATGATGTTGGAAAGCATATGTTATGTTATTGAATTTGTAAATCCATTTTAATGGCAGAAGTATCCGCATAAATACGACAAAGATAGATGAGAACGCCCGTATTGATGATTTGGTTGGTAAAACCTTGCAGAAGCTCTCCTCTCAACTTCCAGAAGGTAACCCAAAGAAGGAGCCATGGCGGCGGTTTTCATGTCCACTTCGTCGTCACCACTGTTGAGCCTGTAACACAGAGAAAACAGCCATGTTTTCTTGGATTTAATAACCACGCTACTTTCGCTTCTCAAAGGTTGTCTTGTCCTCCTCGTTGACGATCTTCTGGACAGCTCGACCAAGTTGGAGATTCCCATGAGACTTCCTAGCGTGATACTATGGTCCCGGAAAAAAGAACCAGTTGACTGTAACAATTTAAGGAACACATATTATATGTTAGGATTAAGGGCTGGTTTGGTTCGCGGAAAATATTTTAAGGGAAGTGGAATTGAAATTTCATAGAAAAATAATTACTAGGAATATGAATTTCATTGTTTGGTTGGTGTAAAAAGAATTACTGGAAATACTAATTCCATTGTTTGGTTAGATTTGGAATTGTAATGAATAAAGAGTATAAAGACCTAGATGTCCCTACAAATTAATAAGAGTAATATAATTAAAAAAAGAAAACTAGGGTAAAATAGGTAATACATATCATTTTTTCTTCCCATCTCCCATGGAAAACAAAATCCTTAGTCCAACAAAGGATTTTGTTTTCCTCAAATTTGAGGAATTCATTTTCTAATGGAAAATGAATTTCATGAACCAAACACTAGAAAACAACATTTTCCTCGACTTTAAGGAAAATATTTTCCTTTGGAAAACATTTTCCATGAACCAAACATCCCCTAAGTGTTTACTACTAGGTCAAAAGCTGATCCTGTACCCTTTACTTTCTTCCCACGCTCAACTAAACTTCGCCTTTATCAATCTCTTAGCCACTAGGTGCTAAACTTGGTCGGCCTTCATCTACCTCTGCCCAATAATTCCTCCTCCTAGAACCAACACTCAATCCCTTGACGTGGTTCGGATGTCACTTGTTAGAAAGCGTTTACCATTATGTCAAAAGTTATAACTAATTAGTGAATGCACAACTTTGTTTCCTTATATCGCTACACATTTTCGACAATCATTATTGTGTGGACTATGGTCCACACAAGTTGTGTAGACCATATTTTGTCTACTGTAAAATAATATACATTCAATACAAAAATAATGTACATTCAGTATAAAAATATATAATGTATATTCAGTACAAAAATAATGTACGGGTGTGTTTGGTTTGCACATGGGAATCGGAATCGGAATGAGTATCAAATACTTGGTAATGGTAATGAGTTTTGGTGAAAGTATTTAACATGTTTGGTGGTAGGGTGGAATGTGAATGGTTACTAATAGTAGTGGTTGAGAATGAATAAGGGAATGAAACCCTTATTTTATTTGGGTATGGGTTTTTCAATTCATAGGGTATTCGAAACCCATAGTAGTGTTCTAGAAACTTATCAACCAAAGAATAACAATCACTTTCATACACATTCTTATGAGCAAAAACCCATCAACCAAACACACCCTTAATTGTATTCAGGGAATGTACATTATTTTTGTTCTGAGTGTACATTTTATTGTATAATGTATATTTTTTTTTTTGAATACTACTGACTCTATTACAATGTAGTATCTGTTCATAACTACATTTAGTATAATAAAAATGTATTTTTTGTTATGGTCCATATAACATGTGTGGACCATGGTCCACACAATAATTTGCCGATTTTCGAGACGCAGGCTAAGTGCTGGACTTGACCTTTTAATAGCCTCCGCCTAACAATTTCTAGTCACCGAGTGTTTGATTTAGTCTTTATCAACCTCCGCCTAACAATTTTCCCTCCCAACACCAACTAGTCATGATTCTAATACCACAAGCGCTTATAGCTACACGAAAAGCTATAGCTAGTAGTGAAAGGTGTAACTTTATTTTCTTATACCGCCACACATTTTTTAAACGGTGGGTGCTGGACTTAACCTTTTTACCTCCACTCAACAATTCCTAAGCTACCTAGTATTAAACTTGGCCTTTACCAACCTCTACCCAACAATATAATGTTGTTCTAGATTTACTAAAGATTCACAGATAGATGGATATATATAGATTTAACGAATATTAAGTATATATACACTAACCTGAGTGTCAAGATCAGAGGAAAAACCAGAAGTGGAGGTAGGAGAAGCTGCAGTGTCGAAAGAAACGATTGATCCATTGAATCGCCGGATTCTGAGATTGTGTGGGTGGCGCAGCCCCAGCGGCCACCCGTTTTCCTGCATTATATATCTTGAGGAATTGAAGCAGTTGGAGGGGAAAAGTAAAGAAGAATTAGATTAACATTTGACACACAAAAAAGTACCTGAGCAGCTGCCATGGCTTCCAAACGTTTGAGAGCTACCAATCAACTTGGGATGCCCTGGCCTGATGGGGCTCCTTAAGGTTCCAAGTCAATGATGGCATGGAAGGAGGTAAGATTACCACGTTAGTTGAAGACTTGAAGCTAGTACGGGGTAGGGGAAGAATTAATATTATATTATGATTGAATTTATGTGAACTCTTTTACTAATCCATATTCTTGAGACGGGAATATAATACTAATTATGTATAAATTGATTGATTATAGGTTATTTGGTAAACTAGTTAGCATATGAGTTAATTTTGGCTTATTTAACTACTATTAATTGTTTAATTTAGTTAAGAAAACAATATAAGTGTTTGGTTAATTAGCTTTTTGTAACTCCAAAAAAATTAAAATTCAAAAAATCACTCAAAATAACTTTTTCAATTAGCTTTTTGAGAAAAGAAATTATGTCAAACAACTATGAGCTAACAGCTAATTTACCAAACACATTTCTACAATCAACTAATGTTATCAACTAGTTATACTCTCTAATTAACTCAATCAACTAACAGCTAACAACCATTTACCAAACATGGCATATTACTCTTTCTGTTTCATTTTATCGGTCCTATCTACTATTCATTAGTCAAACACACTATTTTTTCTTTGTTTAATATTTTCTTTAATATTTTTTATTTATTTTTAAATTTGATTTTTTGTGTTTAATAGTATTGTTAGTGTAATTTCTAAATATATAAATTTTGTACACAAACACTAAACTTAATATTATGAAAAATTGGATTGAAAATAACTTCAGTCAAGTCTCGTTAATCGAATCAGACAAATAAAATACGATGGAGGGAATACTTATAAGAGCAAACGAATTATTTGTGAGAAATAATGTGCTACTTTTAATTAAAAATATAATATTTAGAGTTAAAAAAGTTACTTATCATGAAAATTGTACGAAATAATACTTATGAAACACTCAATCTCTCATGAATTAAGATATGTAAGATGATCTCATATGATATTTTGTCTTATATTATTATGTGTTTAGAATTATTACCGATGTTTTATTATATCGGATTGAATAATAATAGATTTAAGAACTAAGAAGTGTCATCTTGCGATTTTCAATCAAAAACTACCCGCAAACGTGTAATACCTTCTTAATTATTTTCAAAAGCGGTCTCATTATTATAATATCATCCTTAATTTCTAATTTAATCACTATTTTATTTACATTTTTACAATTTCACCTCGATCACCTTAAAAATAAAATAGTATAATAACAATATAATAGTAGTAATATTTTAATAATTTTTTTTAAAAAAAGTCAAATCAAAGCCAAAAGTCTGACATTTCTCTCCACTTTTGCATTTATCAATTTTGCATTGCTTACAAAATATTATTACCCTTTTAAAAACAAGAATGATATGAAAATTGACAATCATCTTGCAATTGCCTCCAATTGCAAGCTTGCTGATGGTTTAAGAGTGACCTACGTGCATTCAAAAGAAGAATATAATCAAGGTAGGTCAGTAGGTGACTTGGGAGTTATTTTCCTGATCAACTCCAAACTCCTAAACAGAGTCATTAGAATTTCCTTTTTCTTTTAAATACAGTTATCATCAATTTAAATATTTAATGCATACAAATTATAATCTTTAATTTGCTTAGAGAAAATCCATTAGTATTGATTTTTTTGCAAGTTTTTAGAAGTCAGGTAAGAGAGAGGCAGGCTAGGGAAGGAAAAAAAAATACGGATTTTTTTTTTTAAAACAAAAATTGTTCTTGTTACGAACCCAACTAGCACGTGAAGTACACGCGCCTGCTGGGCACGGTTGGTGCAATCAACGCACCTGCTGAGTGAGTAACTTTTGTTTTTTTGCCAGTGAGCCCCACAACAAAACTTCTATTTGTAGTAATATACTTTCCCTCTCTCTACTCTCACCCCTCTTCCACCTCATCCACAAAATCAGAAAAAAAAAATCAATAAAAAATCACGGATGGAAATAGCATTATGCTTTAAAGCCATAATCGAATCGTTTACCTTGTGATGTATAAATAAATATCTCCTTATACTAGATCATACTCTTTTTTTTTTTTTTTTTTTTTTTTTTTTGGTAAACAACGAGAGGCTAGGCCTCAAATTAACGGATTCTCCGAGTACTAGCCCCCCTATGTCAGCCCGCAACAAATTGATTAGGTCCTTCGATGGGTCCTCCCAGAATGTTGTTCTTCAATCTCCCATCTGCCCCACATTGACAAGGAACCATTAACTCCAAATCACTTCGCGTGATCGGAATTACTCATTCTTTCACTTTTAACTTTACAATTCTTGTACTAAAATTTTTTATAGTGTTGATATATATTAATCTGAAAATTAGTAGTGAAACTTTGAAATGGATTAATAACAACATTATGAATTCTGAATAATAATTATGTAGTAAGACTTGTTTCATCTCATAAATTCCTGAAGTTAGGCCAATTAATTAATGAAGTGGATGTTGTCCCCGAAGAGTGATGAGTGGCGATATTAACGGGAGCATTAAACTTAAACAGATCGAGCCAACACCTTCCCCTATTTATTACTCCGCACTACATAGTACATACACCACAAATTGCGCATTTAATTTCTTAGCTATTGCTATAACTTCTGATTTTAATTTACTTCTTGGACCAACACTTCTTGGGCCTCACCACGTTAAAAATGTCACAGAAAAAAACATTATATCAGAAAATAAAAATAAAAATATTATAAAAACGTTACCAATGTGCTAGTGGTGTAGATAATAAAAATAATACAAAAAAAATATTCATCTTACTTTATAACATATTAGCGTGTCAGAATGAAATACGTTTTGTGAAAATGTTGAAAATTAATATGAGACTATAATTATAACTATATATATATAAACACACACTAGAGATTAATCGGCAATCTATATCGTGCTCTATGTGCGCCTAGACACAAAACGTGCGCGTTTCAATTGCTGATGTCACTCCGTCCGTCCAAACGGCCCAAACCCCATTATGTGTATTTAGTTAAAAGTTTCTGTGTTTTGTGTTATGAGTTTCTGTGTTTCAGTTAAGAGTTTCTGTGTATTCTGTTAAGAGTTTATGTGTATTTAGTTAAGAGTTTATGTGTATTCAGTTAAGAGTTTCTGTGTATTCAGTTAAGAGTTTCTGTATATTTAGTTAAGAGTTTATGTGTATTCAGTTAAGAGTTTCTGTGTATTCAGTTAATAGTTTCTATGTATTATGTATCATGTTAAATTGTGTATTCAGTTATGAGTTTCTGTGTATTCTGTTATCAGTTCATGTGTATTCGAAACAGAGTTTTTTTTTTTTTTTCTTTTTTTGGACAATGCACCAAAACGACGTCGTTTTGGGTAGGGCGGGGCGCACAATGCATTGCGCGCCCTGGTGCACGATATAATGACTGTAAATGCAATGGTTCTCAGGTAAAAAATAGGGTGAAATTTCAGCCATTGATCTAGCCAAAATTAAAAGTCCAAAATGAAGAAAAAAAAATGTGGTGACATTTTGGTAATTTTGCGTAAGTTCAAAGCTTAAAGTGAGTAAGTTTAAAGTTTAAGGTGCGTAAGTTTATAGTTTAAGGTGTGTAAATCTTATAGCTTAAGGTGCGTAAGTTTATAGTTTAAGGTACGTAAGTTTATAACTTAAGGTGCATAAGTTTATAGCTTTAGGTGCCTAAGTTTAAAGCTTAAGGCCAGTGTTTAAGTTTAAAACTTAAGGTGCGTAAGTTTATAGCTTAAGGTGCATAAGTTTATAGTTTAAGGTGCGTAAGTTTATATCTTAAGTGCACGTATGTTTAAAGCTTAATTAATTAAAGTGCATCGTTTATAGTTTAAGGTACATCAATTTAACTCTTAAGGTGCCCGGGACTATGTGGTCTAATGGTACCCGGGTTGGACTTCCATTTGGAAGATTATGAGTTCGAGCCTCAGTGGAGGCGTTATTGGTTCTTTGTGTTTCAGTAGGTTGAGAAAGTATATATGAACAGATACTACAATGTAATAGAGCCAGTAACTTTCAAAAAAAAAAAAAAAAAAAACTCTTAAGGTGCACAACTTACAAACTCTAGGTGTACAAATTTCAAGCTTAAGGTGCATGAATAATTTTAACTACTTTAATTCATTACAAATATCGACTTTCATACTCTATGTGCATAAATTTAAAGCCTAAGATGCATAAGTTCGAAGCTTAGGTGCATTAGTTCAAAACTTAAGGTGCATCGGCTCAGTACTCAATGTGCATCAGTTCAGTACTTAAGGTCCATATTTTCGATACTTAAGGTGCATCAGTTCGAGAATTAAGGTGCATAAGTTCGAGAATTAAATGTGCATTAGTTCAGAGCTTAAGGTGCATAAGTTTGACACTTAAGATGCATAAGTTCAAGACACTTAAGATCATTTGCATCCATATCCACATTTTTTTTTTTAATTTTCCTTGGGGCCTCGAGGCTAGCTATGGGGCGGTCCTTGGGCGCCCGAGGCTGACCATTGAAGTCAGGCTTGAGGAGTTGGGGTTGACCTTGGAGGTTGGGGCTTTGAGGCCTACTTGGGTCCTCAAGGCCGATTAAGGGGTTGGGCCAGGTTGACTTGACCTGTATCCTCAGATCGGTTCGTTTCAGAACCGTCTCTAGTATATCCATCACATTGGATGAGGATTGTTCGCGTATGACAGAGGCCTTATGATTGATACTTTGGATGCCAAAGTGAGATTGGTGAGGACAACATAGGTGATGAACACCGTATCAATCTTAGGATCGAGTCTAATAAGCTAGTGATGGATTTAATTAACGCGGATGAGACCGAATCAATAAACCCGATAAAGAATGTGAATAGGAAACGGATAGCGTAATGGCAAAACGATGTCGTAAGGTCATGAAGACCATATATATTGTATTAAATAGTGAAAAATGAGCTATTACAATGCTTGATTAGGACAATAATGAAGAAAGTGTCTTAATTGGAGAAAGGAGGGGCTTTTATACAAACTACGGACCTCCTAACTGCCCGCCCAAATCGGAGGCCGGGAGCGGTTGTCCACCGCGTTGACCGCGCCTGGTCTGGAGACCGGGCAACATGGCCGAGGCCGCTGCCGAGACCTCATGCCAAGGCCTGCTGGCTGCTGCTGAGGCGGCCTGGGTTGTGCGGGGCTCAACCCCGGGGCCCCGGGTCTGCTTGAATCTCCCGGATTCCGTCTTCTCGGGTCAGCTTGACTCCACTCATAGTATATCCATCAGCTATATTGAATGTAGTAAGTGACATTGTATGAAATATATGTTTTACTTTAATTACAATTAATTGCATTCAAACACTGAAAAATGAGTGATTTAGGAAGAATGAGTGATTGTGATATATAATTATAAAATATTCTCGACTAGGGTGATTCACAAATATCAGAAGACAACATAATAGACAAATAATCCTAATTACAATAATTCACACACACATATATATTCACTATTCAGTGTCGTCCAATTACATATATACTGTGTATTGGACAACTTAGCATGTCCTAAGGAGTTACATTATATTCTCAAAATTGATATACACACAAATTCTACATACCTACATACAAAAGCATAGTTTTTCTAAACCTTCGAGAACAAAAAAGCAAAATCTATTGCAGAAATGCATTATATAGAAACTATGCAATGAATAGATTGGCCTGCCCCTTGACTTTGACAGGCAACCCAAAATTTTGATACACCCTTATCTCCCCCCCTGAACTTGCCGTCACAATCACCATCCCCCATGCCGTTGCCGCGGCAGCCTCAGACGACGGCGGACTCCAGGAAGTAGACCGATTATGAGACTGAGACGGGGAAGGCGATTCGCCGGGTGGATCTGCTGTATCTGTGGGTTGCGCTGATTCTTCTTCTTGTTGCTTCTTGGAAGGCGATGATGATGGCTGTTCATTATTCTTTGTGTCGTTGCCGGGCCATGAAATCGCCACCGAAACGTCTTTGCATGGGAAGTTTTCGTGGGATTGGACGCTAACGTATCTTGGTTTCCCTCCTACGTTCTTCACTTCTTCTCTCTTCCACACGTACACCTGAGAATCTTCACTTGCACACACCACGTACTTTCCATCTTGCCCGTAAGTAGCTGAAAATTGGCTGGTTGTGATTTTGAAACCTGTTGCAGATACCACATCAGATCATCACTCTCTGATCGGCCCGGTGGGACAGAGGTTGTGAGTAGATGTAAATCACGGTAACCCAGTAGCTCAACAGATCAGGCCGTCTCCAAACTCAGGTCCAAGAGAGCACGTGAGAGGATGTAAATCATGGTAATTTTGTGGCGGCAAACTTTTGTGTGGATTAGGGTCCAAAATATCGTCGCGAATATTATGTGTTAGAATAATGTATATTACGTATTAGAACACATACTTTATGTGTTTAGAATAATAAAACATTTTAGGTAACATAATGTACATTATGCCTTAGAATAATGTACATTATGAGATAAAAATGTATGTTGCAGCCGAGAGCGCGAAAAAATAAAATTAAGCAAAAGGATGTCGTTTTTGGATCGTGGTCCACACAACTATTTAGTGGCTCAACCGTGCCGCCCCACACTGACTCGACAGAGCATGTGAAAGGATGTAAATCAAGGTAACTCAGTGGCTCAGCAGACAAGGCCAAATGCCGTTGTGGCTTAGTAGACAAGGCCGCCCACCACATTCCCATCTGACAGAACATGTGAGAGTATGTAAATCATGGTAACTCAATGGTTAGAGGGTCAAATGCCAGTGTGCACAAGCGATCTGCCCACTTTAGACATAATCTCCGCAAAGTAGCTACTTGATCTCTTTTGTCAAATACTACCTACTGAACCAGTGAGTTAGGTGGCCCAATTTTCTGTCTTAGTAAAATGAAGCTTTGGGGATGGTATAGTACAGTAGTACCTTTATATTTTTGGGTGAAATTGGTTCCATCGTGGATACGGATGTAAGAATCGGCAGAGGTTATTAGCAGTTCCGCTGGATCTGTTCCATAAAACTGTGAAAGAAATGAATCTCAGTTTCCTGATAGGTGACAAATTAAAGTTGAGAATTATATTCTTTGTGCACTCTTTTAAAATACTAATAAATTAAAGAATACCTGAAAACCAGTGATCTTTTTATTCGGGGGTTTCTTCTTTGGTTCAACATCAAACTGATCTTCTTCTTCAAGTTTGCAATCTAAGGCATATATATATATATATGCATGCATGACAAGAGTTAAAAGATGAAGAGAGAAATCATTTTTGGTTGTAGAATCAGAGTCTGATAGCATATATATATATACATACCAGTGGTTTTATACACCCGACAGATGCCTTTTTGTAAACCAATTATGACAGCCTTCCACATGAAAACAGAAAAGAATGAATCATTTCTTGCTTAAAATTGTTAGTTGTGTTGAGAATGAAAGTGTGAGAGCTTATATATAATTGATGATTACCTCTCCATCAGGAGCATAGCAAAGGGCACTGACCATATCTTTCTGATCAATCCAGTCTACAACTTTTCGATCTGGCACGTTCCAAATCCGAACCTTTGCATCTAGTGATCCGCTGATGAAGTGGTCTTCATCTTTGGGATTGAACTGTACGCAAGTAACTGCAACACCACTTGTCAATTATTGTAATGCACAAACTAGCAATATCTGAATTTGGTTGCAATTTAATTTTGCTTCTCACCCACCATAGTCATTGTGTGCAAACATTTTCACACAGTTCTGGCCTTCTATGTTCCAAAGCCTAACGGTTTTGTCCATGGAAGAAGAAAGTAGGAACTGCAAGAAAGAAGATGTTTGTTACGATCAAACGCTTACTACTACGTTACTAATTGGACTTGGCCCTAGCTCCTATACCACTTGATAAGTCAAGTGTTTACCACTGTACCAAAAATTATAGCTAGTAGCGAATGCCTTCTTATACCACCATATTTTTGAAAGGCAGAATATTGGATTTAACCTTTCATGCCTCTGTCCAACAATTCTCTAACCACCTAGTGCTGGACTTGGCTGCCCAACAATATCATAGCCACCTAGTGTTGTACTTGGCCCTAGCTCCTATACCACTTGATAAATAAGTGTTTACCACTGTACCACAAGTTATAGCTAGAAGCGAATGCGCAACTTTAATTTCTTATACCACCACATTTTCGAAAAGGCAGAATGTTGAATTTTGCCCTTCAAGCCTCCGCCCAACAATTTTCTAGCCACCTATTGCTAGACTTAGCTGCCCAACAATCCCTTAACCACCTGGTGCTAGACTTGACCCTTCAGGTCTTCGTCCAACAATCTACCTAGTGCTGGACTTGGCTGCCCAACAATCCCTTAACCACTTGGCCTGGTGTTGAACTTGACCCTTCAGGTCTTCGTCCAACAATCTCCTAGCCACCTAGTGTTGGACTTGACCCTTCCAACAATCTCCTAACCACCTGGTACTGGACTTAGCTTTTCAGGCTTTCGTCCAATATTTCCTTAACCACTTGATATTAGACTTGGCCCTTCATCTGCCTCAACACAGCAACGTTGAGTACATGATATATGTCCACGGAGAAGATACAGTAAAGTGGAAGCTAGCTGACCTCAGATTTTGACCAAGACAGGTCCAAGACTTCATCCTGGTGGCCTGTGAGAGTGCATAATGGCCTCTCTGAGAAAGCAAACACAGAATCCGGCATGCTCACATATTCTGGAACAGAAGTGTCCTTCTTTTTAGTAGTGGGGGCCTTGGCCTTGCCTTGTTCGTCTTTAATAACCTCAACATCTTGAACTTCCCATATGTGAATCACTTTATCCTCCCCAGCACTTGCTAGGTAACGAGCATCCCCACTGAACTTAATGGTCCAAATGGAGCCCTCATGAGCCTGGATTTCCTGGCACATCTGCAGCCCTGTAAACTCCTTGAGGGTTTTCCCCTGCTGCTGCACTTTAATCCACTCCGACGAGGACTGCGGGTTCTTCGTCGGCTTGGGTTTCTGATCAGGAGGCACAGTGGGATCTGTGATCTTCAAACTCATCGAATGCGCCACGTCATTCGCCACATCCTTTATGTTCTTCATCAGAGCCACACTGGTTTTCTTGCTGTATCTCACACTCTTGCTGATATAAGAGTTCATCTTACTGTCTGGTCTCCCATGGGCTCTGTGCATTAGCTCCTTAACCATCCGGGAATACCCCACATGCTTCTCGAATTCCTCCATGGTTAACTGCTTCCCGGTCTGGAGATCACTCAGCTTGTTCCACATCCCCTTTTCGTTGCACTCTTTTACAATGAACTCTTTCCCTGTGTCCAGATTCTTTATCAAGAAAAAGGACCCTATACACTCATCTGTCATACTAGCGGTCTTGGTTCTTCTCTTTTTGCGTTTCTTTCGTTTAACGATCACTGGGCCGGTGAATTGTTTATTTCCTGTTCTGTAAGGTGTTAGCTCGGATACTGTTCTTATTAGACGGTGTTTTGATACCCCTGGGCCAAGCATTTCTTCTTTTCTCTTCTTGGTGTTTGCAGAGAAAGAATGTATATCGCCTTCTGATCTTGACCGGACCAGCATAAATGGGAAAGCCGCCGCCGCATCGTCTTCGTTCTCCTCCTCCTCCTCGGCCGCCGCTGTTTCCGCCGCTGCCGCGGCGGCGGCCTCCTCCTGCTTCTTGGGTTCCTTCTGCTCCTTCTGCTCCTCCTGCTCCTTCTTTTCCTCCTTTTTGATCTCTTGATTTTGGACAATTATGGGTTTTTGTGGGATAGGAGGAGTAGGGGGAGAAGCGCCTTTGACCTTGAACGTGCCTTTTCTGGATTCAAATTTTCTGCTCATCATTTTCCCAGGATCTGGGGGCTTTCTTGACATGGCTCTTGGGACGACCTTGAAGGATTCTTCTTTTTTCGACAACAACTTATCTTTCTTCCCCATTTCAGGGGGCTTTCTTGAAATAGCCCTTGCGAACTTGGAGCTCGTGACCTTGCTGAGAAGATCCCTGTTGCTCACCAACCCCATGCCTTGGTGAAGGCGTTTCCGCCGCTCCTTGATATCGCCGGGATCCGCCATCCACATGCTGTAATCTTCCATGATAGACGCAGATTTCTGGGCATAATGATTCTCCGCAATCGCAATGCTCGCACGGAAGCTGTTGGCGAATGCGGCCTCGGAGAGGGACAGGCGGCTATCCTCAAACTCATCGTCGCTGCTGCTGTCGTCGGAATCGAAACCCACTAAATCGATCGGGGGCTCGAAGAATTGATCGTCGTCGTCCAATCGTCCGATACTATTCCAGTTCAGCTTCACCGTCCTCTTCCGCTCCATTCTTGTTCATCAAACCATGCATGCATGCACAGGAACTTAGCATCAAAATGTTTTTTGGTTTTGGCTTTTTGGTGAATTTTTACTCCGGAGAGAAATGGCTGGGATGGTCAGAGAGAAGTGCATGGAATGGAAGGGAGAAAATTAAGGTAAAGGGACCATTTTTGTCAGAGTAAGGTGTACTTTAACCACAGTGCTTAATTATATTAAACCAATAATAATAAATAAAACAATATTAAATTCTCAAATATATATTATTAGAATATATCTAGGAGAACAACTCAAGAGGTAAGTTGAAAATATTTCTATTCCTTTGTTGAGAGTTCAAAATAGTTTCAAAGTATTTCTAAACATTTTCTCTATACCATTTGGAGATTAATTTCTTCATCTTCTACTTGAAAAAAGTTTTGATAAAAATGTCAAAATGATTTTTGAGTCAAGATTTTCAAAATAATTTTTTGAGTCAAGATTTTCAAAATAATATTGTCTCAAAATGAGTTTTCAATCCAATTGATTAAAATTAGAAGTGTTAAAACGTGCCAACCCCTCCAATATGGGTTGGCCCGTCACACCCATCACGTGCTATACAGTAAATATATATGGTCAATCCGTTTTAAGTTGTGTTAAATTTTTTAATTTAATCTGTCACAAATCGTCAGCCTACTTATTATTTAATGAATAATTATGTTTTAAAATGTAAATTTGTTTTGTATAATCCAAGATTTGAGCATCTAACCCTAAGTTAACAGTTAATACTTTTTTATGATCAAACACCTTAAACTTTTTAAACAATTTATTTAACTTATATTAAACAATAATATAATTTATAATTTTATATGTAATAATTGTATTTTGTAATTATAAGTTGTAAAGTTTATAAAATAAATATATCTTGTGTGTCCTACTACATTGTGCATCTAGGTTGCTCCATTTTTAGATAATGAAATTGCGTAAATTTGCATATGGAATAAATAATTTCTCAATTGGCCTATTAGCTCAGTTGGTTAGAGCATCGTGCTAATAACGCAAAGCGTGCAGTTAGAGCTGTCAAAATGAGCCAGTAAGGATGTGCTAAAAAGTCCGCTAAAATACGGACAGGCCAATCTGCCCATCCTTAGTTATAAAAAAGTTAAATTTTAGTCAAATTCAAAAAAATTTAAATTTAAATAAAAATTAATATGAAAAAGTTAATAAGTGTATACTAAAATAATTTGAATAGTTTAAACATATATTAATGCATTTGTAATTTGTTGAACACAATAATAACTAATATAGTAATAAGTCATAATAAATAATCAAATACATAATATGCGAATCTATAAGGCAATAACAAATAATTTATACAATGTACTACTTACTAATACATTTTTTCAATATAAATAAATAAATTAACATATATTTATATATAATTATATAAAATGATGTGTATATATATAAACTAATATTAGTAATATATACATACTAGGCAGGCTTGGCGGTCCCGCCGACCCGCAAAGCCCAATAGTTATGCTGTGCAATCGAATGCACCATGCGCATGGTGCATACGATGCAAAACGACGTCGTTTTGACTAAAAAACGCGCGTCTCACTTAAAAAAAAAATTCATGTTTGGTTCTCGGCAATAGCATTATTGTGGATATATAGTTATGAATTTATGGATATTTAGTTCATTCATTGTGGATATTTAGTTCATTCATTGTAGATATTTACTTCATTCATTCACTGTGGATATATAGTTATGAATTTCTGGATATATAGTTATGAATTTATGGATATATAGTTATGAATTTATGGATATTTAGTTCATTCATTGTGGATATTTAGTTCAATCATTGTGGATATTTAGTTCATTCATTCACTGTGGATATATAGTTATGAATTTGTGGATATATAGTTATGAATTTATAGATATATAGTTATGAATTTATGGATATATAAAAATACTATTGCCGGGAATCGAACCTGATTTCTTTTTTAAGTGGGACGCGCGTTTTTTAATCAAAACGACGTCGTTTTGCATCGTATGCACCATGCGCATGGTGCATTCGGTTGCACAACATAATTTGCGACCAAAGCCCGCCATTTTGAAAGGGGTAGGCAAAAATACTCGCCAAAATATGGGCCATAAAATTCAAAGACTGGGCAGGGCGGGACGGTCAAAGCCCGTTTTAACATGTTATCTACTTGACTCATGTTAATGCACACTTCCTTATGTGTATTGTTTTCCTTATGTGAATAATTGTTAGTCATGTGAGTTACGTCGATATATCTAGCTATATCTATCGATAATTCGATATACCCTATATACTACTTGTGTTACTCTCCTATGCTTATGTCTGATATTCATGTCTTGGAATGTGATTGGGAGTGTTGGTTTTACAGCTTTGGGTAGCCGCTCAGCGGGCCAACACTACCGTAAAATACTTAGGGTTTTTTTATCGAATGAATCAGCATAGCTAAGAGCGTAATGTGGTATTATTTCTCTAGGGTTTTGACCCTTTACATAGTGATCCCGTAGGGATATTTATACAAGAATGCAAGATTCCTACATGGAAAGTAGGGCTGACGTGGAGCCAGATCAGTTAGGGAATCTGGCTTCATTAATGCCATAAATACCTAAGTTAGCAAATGAAATTGCTTGTATTAAATGAGGAAAGAGATCTCGTGAAATCTGCTTGTAACCGCCTCTAGACAAGCACTCAATCGGGAACGCTATGACTGCCTGAGGAGATGACTCGAGGAGGGGTTACGACACTTAGGCAAGGACACACCGACTGCTGAGCCTGTTCGCCTAGCTGAGTCTTCCCAGGGTACTCGGTCGGGGACACACTGACTACTGAGTCTGGTCGCCCATCTGAATCCCTGGAGGGAATCCGGTCGGGGACACGCCGACTACCGAGACGGGTCACCCAATCGAGTCCTATGTGCGAACCCAGCCGAAGATACACCGACTACTGAGCCTAGTTGCTTTACCCGAGCCAGCCAACCTCCGTCCGGGTACGCGCCCGTTCGCTAGACGACTAGTTGCTGGGGATGACTGGTTACGATCTCCCAGGCGCTCTACACGACGAACGAGAATCGCGGGTGCCACCTTTCTCCCTAAATTGCCAAGTATCGTGCCGCGTTCGAACCGGACTGCCTTGCCTTATGCTCCAGACCGGGTATTCGATTTGGTGGTATCTTTCACCAGTCCCTTACTTTTTCAGGTATAGCCGATCGATGACTTGAAAAAGAAGAAAACATGTATTGAGGTAGCCCGACCGCCTTGCTGTCTTCAACCAAACAGGCCGGCCTGAGTGCCCGGTCGGGAGTCTATTCTCCTTCCGACTGACCCCACTCTTTCCGACTGGTTCTGTAACACCCCTAATTTTTAAAACTTTTAGGCTTATGAAATAAAGGCAATCTAACATTAATAATCCAAACAGAGCAGAGACTACACAATAAAAGTCGGGGTGCTATGCCACATCTAAGCTTGAGAACTTAGATGCACAAGCTAACTAACTAAACAGTACATAATCCAAGTTTAATATCCAAAATGCAAACCTAGGCACACATGCCATCTACCAAGACTAAGACTATCTAAGCTAAGTCCTCCCGTCCATCTAGCGCACTCCAAAGCTACTGATCTGTACCTGAAAAACATGTGGTGTAACAACCGTCAGCGAATAATGCTGAGTAACTCACTTCCACCCGTTGAGTACAATAAGTATAAGTATAGGAAATCATTTTGAGACTGAAATACATATATAATTCTAGACAACGCTAGCTCCTGTGCGTGGCTAGAATACAGAAGCCGTCAATGGCTGGCTTAAATGCGTAAAAGTGTATTGAAACTCGTAGTAATTTTCACCCCGAGTGGAGGGCGTAACTTGAATGTTAGTCACCGTGCCTAAGGTACTTTGGTAGACAAAATGCAAAAATTTGGGAAGGTCATCATAAGACTAATCTCACTTGCCAAAAAGGCTCTCAATACCTTTTTGACATCCGTACTAAGTTTTTTTGTACCCATCATCGATCCCCTGCCTTAGCTTTCTTTAACATCCAGTATGATGTGATTGATTTTGTACAGGGGATAGATCATTTGTCAAATTGTCTTTGACTAGGTCACATATGAATGTGCTGGTGCAGATGAAATCTTGACCACCTTGATTGTAAGAGCATCCACATTTGTTAATCAGGTTGTTGGATTGGTAATCATAAAATTTTAAGTTTGACTCTTAATGGGAGTGACCTTTTGATCTTTTTGATTTGAAACAGTCAAAGTACGGACAATCTACTAGACTGGTTTATGTCATTGTTGTCTTTTGCAAACTAAAGTCATACTAAAATCATAAGGCCAAATTTACCCAATAAGTAATAATTGAGAATTTTCTTTGTCATTGAATACATAATTTTAGCATATTGCACTAACAAATGGCCGGTGTGAAGTGGGGAAAAGTTTCCGAATAATGAAGACCATATAGAAAAATTGATGTCTAATTTTTGCGGTAAAGGATTGGCCACCAACCTCATGGGTGGGGATCAAACCACCAACCTCATGTTTAGGGGACAAGGTAATGAACCACCACACCAATCATGTTGGTTAAAAAAATTGATGTCTAATGAGGATAGGAAAAAAAGAAGATAGAATGTAATAAAATTCTCCAGAAGACTTTAAACACCACGTAAATAGAATTATATATTATGTATAAAATAACAATAAAAATAAAAAACTTCCTTAAAAGTTCAAGTGGAACAAGTGCAACAAATCAACATCTACCACCTTTATATTTGCGAATAACAAATTTTTAATTATGCAACGTCAATATAAGTAATACAGTATCTAAATATTAACTCATTGCGTTCTATTATATGCTCAAAAATTTCACTACTACTAAAACATGGCTCCTATTTTTTGTCTCTAAATAAACATGGCTCTTATTTTTAATAGAACGGCCCTAGTGGTAATTACTATCTAAATGTATGTACTCGTAAACTCACTGCTTATAATTACTCGTAAACTATATAAGTGAAATAAATCACACTAGAAGAACACGTGGATATTTTAGAAAATATAATACTAGGAATTACAGAATGTAACTCAACAGGATAGTTTAAGTGGCAAATGAGCTCTCTTGGTGGAGAGAATTTCGTAATAATTCAGATCCAATTCTCACAAGTGACGATTCCCTTTGGGTCAACTCCCGTGTCTTCCGGAGCAAACGGGGATTAGTCGGGTGGACCTGTACCATTAAACAGATAGAGAAAGACCCGGACCACCACGTGGTTTACACACACAAAAAAAAAAAAAAAGGAATTACGGAATGTGATTATTTTAACAAAACATTTGTTTACGTATACGTCTGTCTTACAGCCTCCTCTTTGGGAAAAGAGGAGAAGAGTCTTACAGACTTACGTATATGTCATTAATTACAACGACATTAAGCACAGATGGCAAAGAATGGTAACTTACTTCAACCGATTGACGAACAACCAAATTTGAATATATAAAACAGTTGGGCAGCCAAAGGTGAAATATACAAATATATAGGCAATTAAATTATATCGTGGATAAAGGTCCACTTTGCATGATAGATCATGATTCAAAACGACATTGTTTTATGTTAAGTGTCGATTAATAAATCAAATTTAATAACATTATATCTTTTACTATGTTAATAATATTTGTTTGTTCTATATATCCATAATCTAAACTTTAATGTTCATAACTACTAAATTAAATGTACATCATGTGTATTTTCATTCACTCTATAATAAGTTCAAAATGTTCTTTATATATGTTCATAAAAACAAAGCGTAATATACATAAACATTATATTACAAACGCATCATGTTTAATAAACTATGCTCATAATATTTGTCTATATATCTATAAAATTTTTTTAAATGGTACTGACTCTATTACATCCGTTCATATACTTTCTCAACCTACTGAGAACACAAAGAACTAATAACACCTCCACTAAGGCTCGAATTCACAACCTTTCAAATGGAAGTCAAACCCGGGTACCATTAAACCACATAATCTTGGTATATATCTATAAATAATTAAACATAAACATTAATGTACATCATATGTCTATAGTAGGTTCACAATATTCCTTCTATATTTTATAAATTACAATGGATAACACTTGTGTGAGACTGTCCCATGGGTCTCAATCCGTAAAACGGATTGTCAGGTCTTTAATTAATATGTCAGATCTTTAACCTCATTAATAAAGTTCCGACCTACCTCACGAATTGAGATCTCACACAAGTTTTTACTAATTACATATCATTAAACACAGATGTCAAGAGAATAGCAATAGTTTGGCCTGCCAGAGTTGAAATATAATATTAAGCTCACACTTTGCCGACCAAATTGGAATATAATATGCGTCTAACCAAAAGCCAGATGTATATATATATATATTGGTTACATAACATACATTTGTAAAGCAGTAAGAGCAAGCTAAGTGAGCAAACAATCTATCTAGAATCAGCAATGGCAGGAAGGTGGTCTCTTCAAGGAATGACTGCTCTTGTTACTGGTGGTACTCGTGGCCTTGGGTAATATAATATAGCTACCTCATTTCAACTTGTATACATATATAATATAGTTATTAATTAATCTTTTTCATATTAGATTTATCAGCTCAAAATGTGTGTAAAGAGTTGGGAAATGTAATATATTAATTCATCTTTTGTATTTCAATTTTAGGCACGCGATTGTGGAAGAATTTGCTAGTCTTGGTGCGGTTGTGTACACATGCGCGCGTAACCAGAAGGATCTTGATGAGTGCCTTAAAAGCTGGAAAGATAAGAGTTATTGTGTTTTTGGCTCTACTTGTGACGTATTACAGCCATCAGAACGTGAACATTTATTACAGTTGGTTTACAAACAGTTTGATGGGAAACTTAACATCTTAGTAAGCTAAACAAGCTCAAAAAAATTGAAAATTGATCGATTCTCATTTCACGTCGAAAAACATGTTACAACACAACTTTATTAATTTATGTCACGTTAAATATATTCTAATGTGAATTGTTTTTATGATAGGTAAACAATGTGGCTAAACTCATTACAAAAAATGCTTTAGATTATGACGCTCGAGATTTCTCTGATACGGTTGGGACAATGCTTGAGGCTTCATTCCACCTTAGCCAACTTGCACACCCATTATTGAAGGCCTCAGGAAATGGAAGCATTGTCTTCATATCTTCATGTGTTAGTTTGGTCTATGCACCTATTCATACTATCTATGCTGCATGCAAAGGTATATATATTAGTGCATACTTGTAGCTGGCCAGATCTAATTACAAGGGATTTATAAGCTTTTAATTATTAAATCTTTAAGGAAGCCCTAAAGTTAGTAACTGAATTTGTCACCACTTCTTTAAAAAATCAAAGGATTAGGCTCTGGTTGGTATAACTTATTTTAAACTACAAATAAGCTAAAAGTTATATTTGGTATAAAATGGAGAGCTCAAAATAATAGCTTATTTGAACTGCTATACGAAGAGCGTTTCAAAATAAGCTCCTAACTTTTTAATTTTTTTAAATGTTTATTAATTTATAAAAATGACACCATCTACCCTTTATTAATCAAAATCTTAATATCTTAATTTAATCTTGTCTTTTTACCCTTATTAGCTAATTCAACAATTAATTTTATCAAACACTTTAATTTCAATTAGTTAACTTATTAGCTACTAGCTTTTCAACTTTCGACTTTCAGCTAGGCGTGCTAAACAGAGCCTAAATCTGTACAATTAACTGTCACAACTCAGAGAAAGTGTACCACGGTCCACACTGTTGTGTGGACCATGACGGTCCAAAACGATGTCGTTGAATTTTATGAGTTAGAATACTGTACATTATGAATTAGAATAATGTACTTTATGTGTTAGAATAATGTATATTATGTGTTAGAATAATGTACATTATATTATAATAATGAAACTTCTGGAGTAAAATAATGTATATTATGAATTATAAACATGTATATTGCAACAAGTCGCGTAAAAAAATACTCAAAACGATGTCGTTTTTGAACCGTAATCTACACAGCTGTATGAACCGTAACTATTGAGAAAGTGCATTATCTATTTATTATTTATTTATTACATTTAATTTAAATGCGCTAAATATTTTTCTTTTAATTATTTTATTGATATTTTATTACTCTTCATTGTTAAAGGGGCCATTAATTCGCTAACCAATAACTTAGCTTGCGAATGGGCAAACGATAACATTCGCGTCAATGCTATAGCACCATGGGCCATAAGAACTACCCTCACTGAGGCCGCTAAAGTAAACATCATATCATTTTTCTTTTTGTTATTTCCTTAGCTTATTCTTCTTGTTTTAAAACTTGAATACTTAATTAATGGTCTATATATAATATAAACTAATTTATGATTTGGTTTGATCTTGAAGGAAGAAAATGGGGAATTACTTGAAACTTTGATCCGACGAACGCCACAACACCGGCTTGCAGAGCCCAGAGAAATTTCAGCTGCAGTAGCATTCCTTTGCTTCCCTGCAGCTTCTTTTGTCACTGGTCAAGTCATTTGTGTGGATGGTGGAGCAACAATCTATGGGCTTTGAATCAATGCAAAGTTATTATGGTTTAAATAAGTTGCAAGACATATGATATGATTGCTGGTTAAGTGGAGAAGATTTTATTGTACTTGTTTTGCGAATAATAATAGTTGTCTTGTAAGGAAATAATGTAATAAATAAAGATGTTATATTGTGATATATGACAATGTTTACATGAAAGAAAGAGTTCTTCTCCACAAGTTATTATGAAATGGTTGTTTTAATCCTTGTTGGACGTAGCAATTATTAAACTTTTTTGTGAGATTACAATATTACTAGCAAATGATGCCATTGACTAGGTCTGCATTGCATTGTGGAGTTTGGTTTAAAATAAAAAATTAGGGAATTTTTTTAAAAAATAAGAAATTGGAGAAAGAAAAAATAAAAAATAACGACAAACTTGTTTACTAAAATTAATTCTTTTTTTTTTTGAATTATTTTACTTATCTCCGTTCTTTCAGTTATGGATTCTCTTTTTTTTTTTGAAAGGTGGCCAATAAGGCATATATTAAAGGTACTCAGAAATAGAGTCTGGAGGGACATCGTCCGAATACATAATCGTAGAAGAATTAAATGCAGTAGCCGCTAGACTATGTGCTAAATAGTTCTCTGATCTAGGAATAAAATTAACTGAACAATAATCAAAAGAAATAATGCATGCTCTACAAGCATCAATGGCATAGCCAACGTAAGTCCGAACAGTGATAGCTTGATTTGTCAAATACTGTTGCAGGGTCAAACAATCCGTGAGTATGTGTACTGAGCGCTCTCCACGATTCCATAACCAAGACAAGGCTTCCTTACATGCTATTGCTTCAGCCATAAGCGGGGACAGACAATCTGACAAGGGTGCACTGAATGCCGATACATATCCCCCTTCCTCGTCGAACAAAACCGCGCCAACCGTAGCCCTTCCTGTAGCTGGCATGAATCCAGCATCGACATAGCATCTCCGTCTCGGCTCGGCAGGCTCGTTCCGTGCGCCCTCTTGGGCGATCCCCATAGCAGTCACGGCATTTGCCGTGTTGTAGTGCTGCTGCTGCCGTGTCACGGCAGTGGCAGTAGCACTGCTTTGTGCGGCAGCCCCTTGGTCCGTTTGTGGGTGGGTGTGGTGGACTCTTTGCCATGCAAGTGCGGTTGCTTCGGCCAAGGCTAACACTTTTCGTGGTCGCGGTAGACACGCATCCCATACCGCTCCGTTCCTGGCTCTCCAAATATGATATAATATTGCAGCTGCGTGAACAATTTGGTTAGTGTCTAAAATATTTAATAGCTCACTAAACCAAGTATGAAAAATATTTGTTGCTATCATGGGGATTGGAAGGTGAGATTGAGCCCAAATGGAACTTGCATAACCACATGTTACTAAAGCATGCATTGTGTCTTCATCCATTATTCCACACATAGCACATGTTGGTTGGATTTCCACCCTCTTTATAATCAAATTCGTTGTAGTAGGGAGGATACCACTCAAAGCCTTCCACAAGAATGTCTTCCATTTGGGGGGAACTTTTAATTTCCATAGGCGTAACCAATTATGCGTGCCTGTATTATCATCGAGATCTCCCACAACTGCTTTGTAGCCACTCTTAACAGTATAATTACCTCCCTGATCACCATGCCAATACCACATATCCTCATAGTCCGGTGATACTGGAATCCTTTTTATCCTAGCCACATCCGTAGGAATAAAAATATCTGCCAAAATATCCAGATCCCAGGTTTGTGTCTCATGATCAATTAATCCCAACACTGCTGCATTATTTAAATATGGGGGCTTATCAGTATGAACCATTGGGTCGTGTTCATCTTGTAACCATGGGTGGTCCCAGATGAGAGTTGTCTTTCCATTTCCAATTCAGTTATGGATTCTCTAGTTGAATAATTTTGAATTTTTTTTTCTTCTTTCTTTTGACAATGCTATTTAGGCAAGGCAAGATGAAGAAGAATAATAATACTAGTGGGGTGCATAACTTTCAATTTTTATGTGCATATTTTTTCTTCTTTGAGTGCATATTTTTTATTTTTCAAGTGCATATTTTTCCTTCAAATACTGTCCTGCATAACTTTGAACATGCGGGTGCATAACTTTAAACATTGAAGTGCATAACTTTGAACCTCAGTCCTCAGGAGCATAACTTTAAACCTTTAATTTGGTGCATACCTTTAACCCTTGAGGTGCGTAACTTTGAAGCTACAGGTGCATAACTTTAAACCTTGAGGTGCATATACTTTTGTGATGTAAAATAGATTATTCTAAGTCTGTAATATATTATTTGTAGTGTTAAGTGTTTCTTTAACCACCTCATCATGGTTGGTATAAACTTAATATTGTTGGTCCCGGTAGGGTTAGAGAGAGTCTAGAGGGGGGGTGAATAGACTCTAATCGATTCGTTTTCGACTTTTCTCCTTCTGGAGATACGCACAACGGAAATATTGTTTCAAGTTAATTTTTCTTTGCACTCTTTCGTGTTTATAAGGAAATGCGTTTGGTCGATATGATATGATATGCAAAGCACGAAAATAAAAGCGATAAGTAAAGAGATCAGAGAGAGAGAGACGGAGAGATTTTTATAGTGGTTCGACCAACTGTGCCTACTCCACTCTTCTTTCACAACTCGTGAAAGGGTTTGCACTATCACTCCTAGTACAAACTACTTCAAGATGGCTTCCTTGATCACTAAGCCGGACACCCACTTGAAAAGTTTTTCAACTCCTAGAATTTACTCCGCCTCTATCAACTACTCCCTGAGCTGAGATGTTGGAAAAGAGATTTGGTGTTTCTTCAACAGATTGAAGCTTGTCTTGATGTCTGGATAGATCTTCGCTTGATGAAAGAGCAAGACAGCTTCAGGTTTTGAAGTATAAAGAAAGATATGCCTTTGAAAAACTTCACAACTAACACTGGTTATGAAAAGCTAAGGAGATGGAACTGCTTTGAAATGCTTTTCTTAGATTGAGAAAGTGAGTTAACCAGCACCTTCTTCAATGGTGAAGAGAGGTATTTATAGGTGGAAAAATCCATCCGTTGGAGGGAGATGAAAATTTCAAACCTAATAACCAGTGTGTATTACTCAGTGGGCATTGGGCATTAAATGCACTTGTACTGTATAGCCGTTGGAGCCAAAGGCATTATGGCTTTTGTCCTTATTCTCTAACAAAAAGGTACAAATCTTTTAATGCTCATTGTCTTTAGTGAAAGTCATTCCTAGGACACTTTTTGTCCGAATGATTTGCCCATCTGAGTGATAGACAACATTCTCATTGTTTCCTTTAATGAGGGTTGTCTTTCTACAAGTCTGTCCTTGACTTGTTTGTTTAGAGACGAAAGATTGTCCTCATCTTTCGTCCTTTCTTCTTGAACGAAAGTTCCTTTTTGTCGAAGCAGTCCATCCGAGACTTGATTTAATCCTTCTTTCGTTTTGCAAGCATCTTTCGTTCATCTTCAAATCTTCATGTAGACCTATTCTACTAGTCTCGTGCATGATTTAACATTTCATGCCTATGTCATACGAGACTTTCTAATAAACGAGAAATATGGGTCTACATCCTAAGACAGTTTGGTATCATCAAAATCTAAATGCACTTGTTCCTAACAAATGCTAATGGAGCCCTTAAAAGATCCAGTGGCAGACCCAGAAAACTTTTTCAGTGGGGGCGAAACGCATTAAAACAAAAGAGATAGTTTGATAAAAAAAATAAAACACTTAAAAGTATAGCCATAAATATTGTTGAATGTGGACGAAAAATAGAACACATCAAAACTTTATAAAAAAAATATTCATAACGTACAAAATATGAAACATAATTAATTTGATAAAATAATTCGAATAAAAAATACATTATAAACACATCTCATTATTAATATAAAAGAAATATATATATATATATATATATATATATATATATATATATATATATATATATATATATATATATATATATCAAATGCGAAAGAGCTCTTACGTTAAAAAAAAAAAAAAAAAAAGATTAAGGCCCTATTTGGTAAAAAATTGGTCTATAGGTCAATTTTGGCTTATTTGACCATTATTAATTATTTTATTTAGTTAAAATATCAATATAAATGTTTGGTTAATTAGCTTTTTGCAACTCCAAAAGGTTAAAATTAAAAAAGCTACTCCAAGCAACTTTTCAATTAGCTAACAGCTATCAGCTAACAGTTAATTTACCAAACACTTTTCTACAATCAATTAATATTATCAACTATTTATACCATCTAATTAACACAATCAGCTAACAGCTAACAACCATTTTACCAAACAGGGCCTAAATCTTTGTCATTGATCTAGTCCAAATCACTGTCGAGAATGAAGATTTTTTTTTTTTTTGAAAAAAAAAAAACAAACAAACAAACAAACGTGGTGGCATTATGTTAATTTTGTGTAAGTTCATTTTTTTTTTTTTTTTTTGTCTTTGAGTGCATTATTTTCCTTCTTCGACTGCACATATTTTCTTCTTCAAGTGCATATTTTTTCTTCTTCGAGTGCATAGTTTCTGTTCGAGTTCATAAGAGGATTGTAAAATCATTGTGAAGCATAACTCTAAATCACCCTTCTTAGGCCAAGTAGTGAGCCCATGTTTTGAGATTCTGACGTAGAAGAAGTACTCGACGAACATGCCGGAGTGTATTGTTGCTTAATTTTCTCGTTGCAGTGGTAGGATCGCATGGCTTTTCGTACCGGTCCCACAAACAGCGTCAGTGTTTGTTTTCAGACTCTAGAACGATTTACCGGAGGTCCAACATAACCGGTCAAATGAGAATAATATACAAAAAAATAAATAAACAAGACCATAATTTTAACGTGAAAACCGAAAGGTAAAAATTACGGGCCTTTTTAGATCGTGTCAGGCCAAGAATTCACTATTTTTGTAGGTGATTTGTACAATGCTATATAAGAATGAAGGTGTCTCTCTCTCTAATGCTGGAGCCCTCTCGTGAAGATGAAAAATGGAGCCCCCTCCCTCTCGTTCCTCCTCTATCCTTGTAGCTACAGAAAGCTAGATAGTGGGTAAGGGGTATTCAATGGAATAGGGTTTTTGTTAGGATTTAATGGGTATTTTAAGAGGTAATAAATTAGTGGTTAGTGAGTTTTTTTTTTTTTATTACAAAGGAAGGGGATACCCATAC